AGGAGGAGGGGAGGAGGGAAGAGGAGGAGGAGGAGGTTGAGGAGGAAGAGGAGGGAGGAGGAGGAGGAGGAGGAGGAGGAGGAGGAGGAAAAGGAAGAGGAAGGAAGTCCTCCCAACGTGGCGCGGACGGTGCCGCCCGACCATGAGCGCGTTCCCAGCATCATCAGCATCGTCGGCCTCCTCCCCCCTACTCCTCCTCCACCTCCTCCTCCTCCTCCTCTTCCTCCTCCTTCTCCTCCATTCTCCTCCTCCTCCCCCTCTGCTCCCCTCTTCCTCCTTCTCCCTTCTCCTCCTCCTTGGAGGAGATAAGGAGGAGGAGAGGAAATGAGAGAGAAGGAGGGAGAGGGGAGGAGAAGGGAAGGGGAGGGGTAGGGCGAAGGAGAGAGAAGGAAGGAGAGAGGAGGAGAGAGGGGATAGGGACGGACGGGAAGGGAGGGAGGCGAGAAACATCGTAAGTAGTTACAGCATATCACATCATGTTATAACGCATCATATCACGTTACAGCATATCACATCATGTTATAACGCATCATATCACGTTACAGCATATCACATCATGTTATAACGCATCATATCACGTTACAGCATATCACATCATGTTATAACGCATCATATCACGTTACAGCATATCACATCATGTTATAACGCATCATATCACGTTACAGCATATCACATCATGTTATAACGCATCATATCACGTTACAGCATATCACATCATGTTATAACGCATCATATCACGTTACAGCATATCACATCATGTTATAACGCATCATATCACGTTACAGCCCATCGCGTCACATTATAGGACACCATATCACGTTACAGCATGTCACGTCACGTTATATCACGTTACACCATGCTATCACGGTATGTCGCAATGTCACACGCGTTCGAATTGCTCTCACCAGCAGAACGGCGAAGTTGGTCAAGTGTTCGCAGTAGCAGACGAACTTTCCATCACGCACGTCACCGCCCCAGCAGCCCGATTCCGACCAATCACCGACGCCGTCGCGGGCCACGTGATCCCAGAACACGCACGTCGGTTTCCCGTCATTCTCGCCTGGTAGCTGAATATATAATGGGCGCAGCAGGTGTAAAACCTTTATGCTAAGATATTAACCTTTTCTTCTATAATCCACAAGTGTTGATCTGTTAAATTCATCCATTTTAGGCTCGTTCTTTCTTCTTCATATTCGGGAGAGTCGCTTAGACTATGACTGATATTTGTTATGCGGTCATGACTCTGGATTCTCAAGCTATTGAGAATTTTCTTTCCGGATTTTGCTCGGGTTCCTGGCCGAAAATCGGACAAAAAATCGGACGAGTCTATGTTCA